ACAATAATGGAATATTTTCTGTAAATTCTGTGAATCTCAGGCAGCTCGACTTACGTGAAGTGTTTCCAGCTGGGCGTCCTTTACCTGGAGTCGAGTGTTTTAACCGATGCATGAAACTATTCATTTTTAGACAGAAGTTGTAACGGCTGCCATTTTCTTTCAAAGTTTGAGTCTAACGTTTAGTTTTTTAGCACCTGGCGGCTCTTTTTTGCTTCTCATCCGTAAACTCTCTGCATACTCTTTCACGTGATTCACTTTATTTTGAGAAGTCTCAACAGGATCTTGAGCTTTATTGTGAAAGTGTTACATTAAAAAGAAACAAGCAGACAGCGGGGCCACGCAATGGTTTTACCATCATTGTTGCTAACGACAAGACGTAAAAACAGGCGCTTGTCCGTCCGTAGTGTTGTTATATTAAATATAATTGAAAGAGAGAACTTTTGGAAATTAATATAGCCACTACAGTGACCATCAAAAAAAATGAAAAAAATATTGCTGTAAACAGTTTATTTTACGATACCGTGAAACAAACGATAGCGTAATAGGAAACGATAGACGTTTTTATATCGTCATCCGATATATCGTCGTTATATCGAACAGCCCTACTTTAGATGCACCCCCAGGATTGAAGCAGTGATGTTCAAGCTCTGTCCTGTTTGCACAAAGAAATCCTGTTGGCATATCTAACCATTTTTTCAGCCGCAGCTCAGATCAGTCCTTGTTTAATAATATCTTTTTTTTTTTTTTTTATTATTATTATTATTATTCACAGGTTTTACTTTATACACACACACAATCTGGTGTATGCCTGTTATACTTTTATGTACAGCCAGGCATCAAGAGCCTCTACACAGTATTAAATGTCCATGTGTGCATTTACCCGATATATCTCCTCCAAAAGCAGTTTTGCGCAATTTCTGCCAAGGTCTTCTGGCAGTATGGGGTCTCCCTGCCCCTGTGGCATGGATGACATCTCTGCACTAAGGAAGCAGCCGTTGAGTGTCTCTGCTACCAGTGTCAGACCAAAGCCTGGAGACCTGGGGGGTTGACCAAGTACAATGATTTAGTCCGTTTCCACAAATAAGGGTTGAGAATTAAAAACACATAGAAAACCCATGTAAAGCTTAGCAGCTTATAAATGTAGGCAAAGATACCCACTTGCCAGAGTTGGCTCCTTTCATGTGGTCAGTATAGATATAGATATCTGGAAGAAACTGGTTGAGGATGCCTCTGGCTGACTCCACAATCCTATTGCCCATCTGAGGAGAAACTCGCACTGAATATCTGTGTTTGAAATGTCAAGGACACGCCATTCCAAAGTGTGTGTTTGTGTTCCCACTTTGTGATGCAGAAATTATATCAAAATCAAGAGGCAACAAGCTAGTATTTAGTAATAAGTTCAAAATTATGATGGCTTCCTGCAACTCATATTACCAGTTATGTGTAAACTTCATCAGCAACATTGTGCTCATTTATAAATAGAAACTGAGCTAAAGTTTAAGCAAATGATTCATGAATTGATTCAACATGAGCTACTCTGGCCTTCTGTTCTGGGATTTTTTTTTTAAATATTAATAACACATCAGTTGTGCCATGTTGATGTAATTGTAACTAGATCAGACTTATAATTGTACAGAACTGATTTCTTTATTATTACAAAAAAAAATATGACTCATCAAACTAAAATGAGCACATAAAAATTACCAGGGCTAAAATGTAAAGAGGCGTTTCTGTATTTCGATCACTTTCATTTTGCTTAAGGTGAAATAAAGTGCAAGTCTAAAAAGGATACGCCACTCCCCTGATCCTCTTGATCTTGCCAGGGTCAGTCAGTTGGACGGGTCTGACGGTTTTGCGGACAGGACATGTAAACACTACTTCTCCACCCCCACCAGGCGCCATTCCTCTCTTCACCACCTGAGGGTGTAACACAAGAGACAGATTAAGATATAAGATGACATGCATGGCTACCTTATTTATCCCTGGGTTTGACTGCATCTCTACAAAAACAGAATACCATGAGGTCCTCACCTTGATGTCAAAGCCCTCTCCGTCGATCCCAAACTTCTTCATCACTGGGAGGGCTGTGGACTTCAGCAGATCGACCTGGCAAGGAACAGTGAGATTGAATCCTGACGCACACCCTTGTGCCTGCAGAGAGTTAAAAACTACCTTCCAAAACCCTAGAATAAACCCAGTCTCATCACAACAACAGGCAGACGCTGTTCAGTTTCCATGACAACACCTCTCTCCAATGTCCTCAATTCATACTTCGCAAGGCTTCCTTTTTTGTATGATATGTTGACAATATCTAATTTGAAACCATGCACCTTGAAGAAAAGGGCTGAAGAGAACAATACAGAGACTGGCTTGTGTGCAAAGGATGTGGCAAAAAAAAGGGTGTAAAAGGGGAAACCAGAGAGCAGATGCATGTTACACAACTGCCTCAAGTCAACACATGAGTGTCTAAATTATTACAAAAACATGAATCCCAGTGACATCAACTTCTGAAAATATGTGTACACAAACTGTGCGCACACCAATTCTTAAGTGAAACACTGTTGATCTTAACTGACGTATAACGTGCTCATCATCAAGTGTGCACTAGAGGGCAGTGTCCATATGGAAATGGGAGGTGTGTACTCCACCACAAAACACGCAGTTCATTTCTTTGCAGATGCACGGCTCAGCTCCACCCAGTGCGATCATGAGGTGGATGAGTTGCAACTAAATCAGCAGAGAAAAATGCAGAACAAAAGTTGGATGGTGAAAATATTTATGAGCTTACCGTTGGGTCAGTGAGGTCATTGGTAACTCCCCTCAGAGTGGCCTTCAGAGGGGACTTCATGAAAGGACCCAGCATGAGGAGGGCCTCCAGATAGTACCCAATTGAGCGCTGCGGGTTACAGTCATGTTCTACAGTGCCTCCATACAACAACCCAGGCTGGTAAACTAAAACGGTACCTAAGAAAGACAGTGAATGGCAATATTTGCTAAAGTACAAATTTATACAGCACATCTTATTGCACATAAAGCTAATATACCTAACATATAAACCTCCAGGTTTAAGTCTACAAAGCCTAAAGGTGGCAAAAGTAACAAAGGAAAAAATACAGCTTAACCTACACAGTGAAGCACACACAAATTATTAAGTGTAATCCATTTTACATCCAGATATTTGCTGTATTAAAATAACATACAACATACTGTACATATAAAACAAAAGCAATAAATACTTTATTTGGAAAAATACGGAACTACGACGAAATATGCATAAGATTATGCATAAGACTTTTATTAGTTACAAATCAATAATTATGAGTCAATTTAAGACATTATTTAAACCTTGCTACAGGCCCACAATTTCACTATTGGAGCATCCTTACTGCTTAAAGCTTTAAATAATTTCTACCTTTGGATTGCGAGCTTAAAGAGAGGCATAAATGACAAATATTATGGGAGAAGACTGTGTATATTAAATGCAAAAGTTCATCATGGAGTAAAACATAATAAAACAAAAAAATCTTAATTTTGATCATGCGTCAAAGTTGTCGATGAGTTGGTGAAATCTCCCCTCCGTTGCACCTTCACAGTAAACAGTCATTACTGTGCATAAAATACAGTCTGTGACAAAGGCAACACCGAAATCACACCCTCGCTGTAACACTCACCCGTTTGGTTAATCTCTATCGTGGAGCCATTGGTCAACTTGTCCAACAGTCTGATAAAATTGGCCTCAAAATCTGGAGAAGACAGAATTTATATGTATAGACTGGAAAAAAATGTCACATGGTAATTTATTTTTTAATTTGTCTGGCACTCAAAAACAATCCACCCACAGTGTGAACTTTATTCTGACACACCAAGACACCTCAAACAACTCACAAAACTGCCAAATCACTGCTTCGACGCCCCTTGACACGCTTATCGAAGACACAACTTCATAAGGCAAATGTACGACCACACTCGTGTCACTATCAAACTACTGTCCCATCATTTTCCCTCCTCTGACGCCCAGCGACTGAACACACTCCCAACTGCGTAACAGCTAGCCAGTTAGCCAGGGAGCTAACTGCGACGCCACATGCGGAGCGAATCTGTTAAAAACTCACCCCTGAGTCCCGGCTCGTCATCTTTAGACCTGATGTTTTTTATCTTAACGCGCTTCCCGCTGAGTGCGGACAAAACCAGACGCTGTCGGAGAAAATTGCAGCCTTCGTAGGTGAGTCCGTGGCTTGCCATGTTATTGTTGTTTGTGCTTGGCGTCAGTAAAATCCACGTGTGTTTGTCCAGGAAGACGTTACTGGGAGGGGGAGATTACGGCAAGACAGTAGGGTCAAAATAATGGTTTCTACGGCTGCGTTGCCACACTACTGTTACTAGATGGCACACTGTAACCATTGACGAACGCTAGGTGGGCGTGGCTAAATGACGCACAAATTAAAGGCACAAATCTCATAAAAAGTGTAAACAAACAGCAAAAATACGAATTTCTGGTTTGGCCTACAGTCTTTCTTTAATGAACAGAAATTAAACAAAATTAAATTACGATAGCATTTTCTTAATTATTTTTCGTTAACAGACAACAAAGTATGGAAAACAAAAATGTTTTCTAAACCATTACGGGTCGTACCATTTCTGCTAATATAATTTTATTATTTGAAAAGTCCCACGTTATTTTTTTTTAAAGATTAGTGTGAGGAAGCAAACGAGTCGTCGCCCAACCTAGCGTGCCTGGGCTGCCAGCTAGCCAATCCCCTACACAAGGGATCTGCTCATACAGGATTAAACACCGCCACCTTGCCAGCAAGCTATTTATTCGACCAGTAGACAAATTATATAACGTGTTATACAATAAATACATGTCCGGTAAAGCGCAGTGTTTAAATGGGGGGTGGGGGTAAGTTTCTCAGCACGCAGGAGAAAGGAGCTCATTTTGCTCGGTGTCCGTCGTCTGACGGGTGCATCATCTAACCTCCTCTCTCTGGCTGGCCCTGAGCCCGCTGATTGTAGTTCTCATCATCCTTCTCCTCCTCTTCCTCCTCTTTGTGCAAGCGCTGCGCAACATAAAAAGTCCACCGAGTTCAAACTAGCTGCTTAAGACGCGCCCACTCTTTCTTGCGTTGTGCAGTTTTGCAAGGAGAAGGGAGAGTGGATCTGCTCTGCGTTTCATGAGAAGGGAACACTTGTTGTTACTCGATAAAAGTCAGTTCAAACTCGCTTGGACATGGTGCTGCCAAGAGTTATCCGTGCTGTCATCATGGGACCCCCGGGGTCGGGGAAAGGAACGGTGTCTGGGCGCATTACCAAAACTTTTGGACTGAAGCACATTTCCAGTGGGGACATTTTGAGAGCCAACATAAACGCGCAGACCGGTAAGATAGTTTTAGCTCGAGAGGGAGGACACGCTAAGGCATTGCAAAAGCTTTCAGGAGTTTACGTGTCAAACTGAAAGATTTAACTTAGTATTTATCAAGCTTATTTTACTTAAAGCCACAGCTGGTCGTTACGCACAAAGTGCGAACTTAAAAACGAAACAAGGCAGCTTTTCTGCAATATTCTGATAAGAGTCCACGCCTACAACAGTGTGATTTTTATCTGTCTGTGAAATACTAAACATAGGATACAATTTAAACATGTTGTGTCTTCTCTAATCAAGGTCAGCGTTGTCAGGTTTATACTGCAAACATTTGCGCCAGAGTTACCTGGACCTTGGAGGAAGGCCCGCTACTGCTCAATATCACCTTGGATGTGGCTGAGAGCTGTAAAGATAAGATAGCCGTGAACTTTTGCTTCATGAAAGGAGGAGTTACACATTTGAAGGAAAAAAAAGGTCTGTTTTTACAGCTGCATGAAGAGAATCCCATGTTGGTTGATTTGGAGTGTGCGATGTGTAATCGTGCTTTAACCGTTAGTTATACTGGGAAAGCCTAAAACATACAGAGTGCAGACGTGCAGGCTTAACTTAATTCACTTGAGCATCTGCCAATCAAAGCAGTTTTTATGCAGTGTGACTGCTCGCATTTTTAAACGTCAGACTTTTTATTTGATCAAGCGATCCCCCAACGCATTCTGCTTCTTCATTAAATCCGCTTAGAATAAAGCACTTTTGGATTATGGTCATGAGTACTCCATATAAGTGCCGGCTGTAAAATGCATTTCCCAGCTGGCATCGTCTTTTGGCTGTTGCTTGGCAATGCTTTCGTCTGCTGTCCGAACAAGGTTCACTGTGCAGTCCAAAGAAGAAGTACGAGACATTGAGTAGTCGCTGTGCCACAGTGACTTTTGCACTGTTTCTGATTAGCACAGCAGGTCATTTCTGCGAGGCTTGTCAGGAAATTCCTTTCCTCTGATGGACTCTGGCCAATTAAAGTGGAAGTAATAGAAAAAAGGCTTTCGCTTTAACCTCTTCAATTTGTATTATACACTATACCACTTTTTGCATATTAAGTGTAAATATGCTATGGTATTTGCATCATTTTATGTTTTTTACCTTGTAATTCAGCATAGCTTGTCTTTGTACATCTAACATCTGTGTGTCACTGAGTAGCTACACACACTGTTTATAATGATGGAGACACTGCAAACACTGGAAGTGTTAGAATAGCTGAAACATAAAACAGGTTTTCTGGTGTAGATGCATGTTATTAGGCTTCTTTGTCAGGCACATGCAGCCAAATGTTGATGTGGTGTCCGTGTTGGCTTTATGAAGTATGGATTAAAAATTGAGGCACGAAGGGAAAATTGTACATTTTCTAACACAAACATTCTTCCTTTCTCTGTCTCATGTGTTGTTTGTTTTTTGTTTTCCCCTCCTGTTTGTTTCAGAGCTGGGGCTGCTAATGAAGTCCTGTATTGATCAGGGTCAGCTGGTACCTGATGACGTCATGTCTCGTCTCATCCTGAATGACCTGAGGGCAATAGATGGCGGCAGCTGGCTGCTCGATGGTAAGTTTTCACAACTTTGCATCAGCACTCGGTTCATCTGGTAAAATGAGTGGTAGGCGATCATATTATCAGCATTTCTAGTTAGGAATTGTTGAATTTGTTCTATAAAAAAATAGATGTAACACTGAAGGAAAGACTTAGACTTTAATTAAATTACTGGCATTGATCGCACCAACCTTGATTCCTTTTTTGCTTTGCCTAGATTTCCTCTGTCTCTTTCACCAGGTTTTCCTCGTACAGTGTCCCAAGCAGAAGCTCTGGATGTTGTCTACACCTTGGACACAGTTATTAACCTCAATGTACCTTTCCAGACCATCAAGCAAAGGTTGACTTCACGTTGGACTCACCTTCCGAGTGGCAGAGTATACAACACAGATTTCAACCCGCCTAAAGTCCCTGTAAATATCCCTTTCCTATCACTCCCTGATTTAGTTTCTATTAGATGTTTTATACCGTATTTAGCCCAGCTTTGCACACATAATTGCAAAAATCTTAAGTTTCAGTTAGTCGGACCAATTTAAGTTTTAATCTGGTAAATAACCTGTATTTATATAGCGCTTTACTAGTCCCTAAGGACCCCAAAGCGCTTTACATATCCAGTCATCCACCCATTCACACACTGGTGATGGCAAGCTACATTGTAGCCACAGCCACCCTGGGGCGCACTGACAGAGGCGAGGCTGCCGGACACAGGTGCCACCAGGCCTTCTGACCACACCAGGAGGCAACGGGTGAAGCGTCTTGCCCAAGGACACAACGACCAAGACTGTCCAAGCCGGGGCTCGAACCGGCAACCTTCCGATTACAAGGCGAACTCCCAACTCTTGAGCCACGATCGCCCCATTATTACTACTGTAATGCAGCATTTCATAAAAATAGACATGGTGTTAGTGATGTCTGGGGCTGTAACTGATAGAACCATGAATTGAACGTCTGCCCATCAGTTTGTGAAACTCAAGCGCACTTGGGTTATGCAGCATGACAATGATTCAAAACGCACCAGCAACTCCACCTGTGAATGTCTATCACTGTACCAAAAAATAAAAGGTTTTGGAGCAGCCCAGTCAAAGTCTAGATTTGAATCCGATTGAGATGTCTTGGCATGACCTTAAACAGGCCATTCATGCCCAAACCCTCCAATGTGACTGAATTAAAGCAATTCTGCTAAGAACAGTGAGCCACAGTGATGTGAAAGACTTGTTACCGGCCATTGTGAAAGCTTGATTGCTGCCAAGTTATTGGGTTTTTGGGGAAGCTTTCACTTTTTCGCACAGGGCCAGGTACGTTTGGATAGCTTTTTCCTTTTCCTTAATGACAGAAGTAATCATTTAAAAACTGCATTTTGCATTTACTCACATTATCTTTGTTTAATATTAAAATTTAGTTGACGATCTGGACCACATAGTGATGCGAACAGGACATGAGGCCATTCAGGTTTCTCAAATTTTCATGAATGTATATGTTTGCTCAATAAAGATGTGGAAATTCAGAGTAAAGGATACCAGATTACAGGAAAAACTCCAGTATAAATCTTAGTAAGGTATTTGGCCACCACATGCTACCAGAATGACTTCAGCATGTCTTTGGAAATATGCTGGATTGATGAATACCAATCTTCCAAGAGATATTCCCTCACTTTGCATATTTGGTAACTCTCCTAAGAGTAATGGTAAACACACTGAGAGCCTTTAATATAATACTTACTCTCTCATGTCAGATTTCCGAGTTTAACTTACTGCCTCAATCAACTGGAATTGCTTGAGGCAGCTAATTCTTTCACCATGTAAATCATTAATTTCTTGCAGAATTGTGGACAGCATGTTTACAGTGCTCCCTCTTGACCTCAGACGTACCCTTCTGGGACTGTGTCTGCTGTCTGAGTAAACTAAAGACACTGTCATATTCCTGGAACTGTCCGAGCCCTTTTTATTACAGTCTACCCTCCTGAAATGTATAACAGGGTGACTGATCCTATAATGGACGCAGCTGGTAAAAGTTGATGTTTAGATGGTGTCATGGAGCAGAGGTGTTGAATATATCTAGAGTCCTCTCAATCCTCCGACAGTCATAAAATATTGTAAAGAGTTTGGAAGTGTAACCGATCAAAAAAAAAGTGTGCTGTTAAAATAAAAACTAATTGCATTAATATACTTTAATCAAAAAAATCATGTTGAAGGTCAAATTGTACAGGTTCATTAGCAACAAATGTCTGTCTGAAATGAGAATGAAATTCAGAAATTCAAGTTCCTAATAGAACATCAACTACTTCTTAACAAATAAACAACATTTATCCAGATAAATGTCAACCTTTCAGTTCCAGAGAAATGTGAGATGAATAGTTTTAGTTCAGTTGAGGATATTTTATATATGTGAAGGGTTGTTTTTGTTTCCTTTTTAGTTCACAGGTAGAAGATGAAGGTTAACTAAACATTAACCTAAGGCAGGAGATTATAAAAAGCCTTGAGAGTTGCAAGAAAAGAGTGTGAGAGAAACGTAACCTTTGTAAGCCCCACAGAAACGGACAGGTTGCATATCTGAGCACGTCAAATGGGTAGATTTGGGGCGCTGGTCAAGTTCACTGGGTAGAGCTGAGACACAGCGTCTGCCTTTCACACTATTATTATCATTCCTGACTAATAGCTTGTGGTTCACGTTTTTGTAAATCTGTGTTTTTAGTAGAAGTCTCTGTAGCTCAAAGCCTCGCAGTGCTTTCAGCACAGATGCAGACTTGTTTACACTAGCCACCTTCTAGTAATGCTCCCAGATCACTGCAATGGGGGGAAAAAAGAATCCTGTGAGGTTTTGGAAAGTAAAGAAGCCAGCCTGCAGCAATCTTTGTAGCTTTCAAATTCTTAAAGTCAGAAATGTGCTTGGCAACATGGGAAATGAACTGAAGGCAGCCCCTTGACACTGATGTCTCTGTCACGTTTCATTCAACACTGATCAAACCCTACAAACGGTTGTGGATTAGTAAGATGATTTCTACTCTGTTCCAACATGTCTCATATTTTTTATGTTCCAACATTTATTGCCTAATATATCTCATTATTAAAGAGCCAGTATGTAAAAGAAGTAACTAAAACCCTCCTTTGCAGCACATAGTAAACATGCGCAAAAGATCAGCATTAAGACAGATTTCTTTTATCTCTGCAGGGCTTTGATGATGACACAGGGGAGCCTCTTTTCCAGAGGGACGATGACAAACCAGAGACGGTGACACGGCGATTGAAGTCTTACGAAACCCAGACGGAGCCCGTCTTAGAATACTACAGGTAGAGCACCGCAGATACCTTAAAACTTAGTGCCAGCAGTATATGCAAAAATCTCTCTAATACTCACCAAGGGTCCAGCTAAAAGTCAAAAATATTGAACCATGACCTTTTCATCCCTGCGTATTCTTCAAAGCTGTTTGCATGACTGAAGAAAATGCATAAGAACCACATTCTAGCAGCCCTAGCCAACACTGCATCGCATTTTCTCTTTATTAAATCAGGTGACAGATGTATAAATATTTATCTTGAAAGCTTAAAACACAGGCAGGAAAATTCATGGATCTTATGTTCTGTTTCTGGGCCAGGAAAATGTATGACTGTTTCCTTAAACCACAGAGATGCTTTTATCCAGTGTCCCACTTTCCACTATAACCACATTGCCTAAAAGTCTGTCATTTGCAGGAAGTACAGATAATAACAGACTGAGAATAGAAGAAGATGCAGATTTAATGTTTAAAATAACTTGTTCTGAAGTTTAGGAGCATTGCCAGCTGATTAATAGATGTACATGGATTTCTAAGTTCAAATGCTGTTATTGAAATCTGATTTGTTTTGTTTGTTTTTACCCTCCAGGAGTAAAGGTGTGCTAGAGACCTTCTCTGGGACAGAAACCAATAAGATATGGCCACACGTTGAAGTTTTCCTTCAGAGAAAATTGTCTTCAATCAATCAAAAAGTTGAATAGAAAGCCTGAGAAGAGTTTATCGACAGAAACCACTGTGTGCATTGTCCAGTCAAAATGCCACTTTTGCATTAAACAAAGGGAGTAAAATATTCTGAATGTTTTAAAACAGGGATAACACTCATCTTACGTGTACAGGAGTACACGGCAGTAAAATGGCACTTAATACAAAACATAAGCTTAGTGTAGTAATGTTTCCACAATGTTGACATTGGTTTTTGAACGTCTCAGGTTGTGTGCAAAATCTTTTAAACAGTAGTTGTTAGACTTTGCACAGATTGCCTCTTCACTCCATAGTGTGCCTTTTTATGAAGCAAGCAGAAAACTGAGTGACTCCAATATTAAGGTTATTAACAGTAAGTGAAGGCTGCGTTTGCAGAGTATAACAGCTTGACGTGTGCCGGTGAATGCAGCCAGTTTTTAAGGAAAGTGTAAAGTCTTTTCTAATTATAATCATTACTTCCTTTCTTGTTTGATTCTGATGAATAAGAATGGGCACACACTACAAGACTGACTTGTTGTTTTGTTTTTTATTTTTTTGTTTTTTGGGGGGTGGGGTTAAACATGAGAAATCCCCTAAAAACAATATGGTGGGCTCTTTATGTTTTTGCTTTAGCATTGCTTTTCCAGAACTGCCTTGCTGGGTTTGTTTTCCATGCACTAGGCAGCTACCCCAAAGGGAAATGTGCCACATTCTACAAATCACTGTAAATTCACTTTTGCACTCAAGTGCCTTTTGCTGCTTTTGACAATAAACAAGGTAGTTAAATGAATGTAAATGATTTTGATCGTAGTGGACCAGATTAAATGACCAGATCACATTTCTTATGTTATTTCTTTTTAATTAATCAGAAAAAAAGCATTATTGTGGAACAGCCTCTTTAGCTAGTCTTAAGTGATTGCTCTTAAATTCTGCCAGCTATTCCTTGTTGTCATTGACTGATATTAGCCATTTAATGTGAATGTGACAACTAAAAATATATAATTATACAGTTTGTACAAGGCTTCTGTGCTGCTTCTGTCTTGTTTGGGAGATGTTGCAGTACTTAAGTATCATCTGCTGTGTTGTTGTTTCTTTTCCCTCTTGTTTTTGCACTCTTTTCTTAAAGTTTCTGCGATATTTTTAAAAGCCACAGAAATGCAAACCTACCTTGAACTGTACTGTACAGATCGATGCAGCAAATGTTTCCTGTGCGTATTCCGAAACACTTGAAGATAATGTTTGAAGGCGTATCTCCTTTCATAGGTGACTCACAACTATGTTTATAAATCATAATAAATGTCTTACCTAGATTCCTGGTCATTTTGGGGTTTTTTTTATACATACGTCTATAAGACAACACAAAACACGCCATCAAGCACTGTATGCAGACTTTTTCCAAAAACAGTCCTAAATTCATTGATTAGAACACAAGACTAGTCACTTTTCTCCCTCCTTTCTCAATGATTTCAATGCAAACACAAGTTTATAAATTCCACTGTTTTCATCTCAAAGACATTATTTGTCACTTCCACTTAAGCCTAGTCTGGTGTAAGTGGGATAATATCTAGAATTTGTAAATTATTTTTAATCAAGCTTGCATCAGACTGTAGTCAGAGCTCCGATATGCAACGCTGTCACTAAGTGTTCAGTTTTGGAGCAGCACTGAGATGCTTTGGCAAGGGTAGTTTTCCCTTTCATGCGTTTTATGATTTCTCCCATTCTTCTACAAGTCTGCCTTTATCGTGTCATTGATCTGTGATGTGCCAGGTGTTCACTTCTGCAGACTAGTTGGATCGCTTGTAAGGTTCTCAGTTTTTCTATTTTCTTGTTTTCGTGTTGATAGGAAGACATTCAATATATAAATTTAAACTTTTCCCAACTCTTCCTGTGAGTTCATTTATCTTGTGTCTCATTTTGTAATATTTAAGAAATATTCTCCAAGCTGCAAGTTCATTTTAAAGCTTCAAAGTTATGTATAAAACAAAAGGATGTAAGGTTGTTACCAGCTCATATCTTAGTACTTGTCCCTTCCCTCCAACTCTTTAAAAAAAAAAAAATGTTTCTGACAAATTCTGAAGACCAACTTTGTCCAAAGGCTTTTATTTGCAGAATTGTCAACTAGTTTTATGTCTGCTATCATGGCTTGTACATGGGGTCCTACAGTTTTCCTGTCCTCTCTGTAAATTGTAGACTGCGTATACAAAAAAAAAAAAAGAGTCCTTCATTATGTTGCACAGTAGGAGACCTTTAAATTAGGTCAAGCCAAGCCTCCTACCAGTTATTGTTCTCAATGATTTTGCTCCTAAATAACTAAAAAGAACAATGAATGTGGAAAGTCAAACCCCGGCATCGACAGTACTCACTGTGCAACTTGTCTGTCGGGTTGGCAAGAAATTTGGCTGTGCTATGCTAACAGCAGTCCGTATTATGATGAGCTTCTCGCCTGCAGCAAGACGAGCAAGGCACAGACGTCTGGCAAGCACACGTCTTTCCACTCAAACCTCCTCTTTCTTTCTTTCCGTCGTCCTTGTAAATGGTAAATGGCCTGTATTTGTATAGCCTTGTCTTCAACCACAACTCCAGAACTGACTGTCTAAATATTTACTGGACTTCACAAAGCTCCCTCTTATAAAATTTGATTTTACATATGTATTAGTACTCCTCAAGACCTGACAACAAACTATGATGTGCAAACTTAGTGGAGCTTCCCTGTAAGGACTTAACCACTGTTTTCGACTGTAGGTCCCAAAAGACATTAAGTACTGTGTTTATATATTTGAAGTTGTTTTTTTCCTCTGTAGGACAAGTCAGTGTAAATGTGATGGCAGCTAGTGACTAAACTCACAGCTCACTGTAACCTGGGAAGTCGACACACCAGTGGCCACAGGCTGAGTTCAGCAAGCCTTAGCCAATTATTTTTCATAGTTAAATATTTTATTTTGCTCCACAAAGACTACTTATGTCCACATCTAACCTCACTGCTGAGAACATATATATTTATTAACAGCACTGAGTGTGTGTATGTTACTTAATATACTTAAAAAAAGACTACTTTTTAGGGTGGGGGTGGGAGCGATCATTAATAAATGACAACGATAGCTGTGAAGCAGAATCATCAATGCATCATGAAGCAGCTCCAAGTCTGAACTGTATTTAATACACTTGATATTTCTACATCCACACACTGCAGCAAATGTCTTACTGAGCAAATGTCTACAATGTTTATGTTTTGTTAAATAATGAAAAGCATTGTGAAAGAAAGTTGAAACTTAAACAAAAAAACGAATACAAAAGCAAAAACAAAATGTCACGCAATTCATAAAAACGCATTCATAATTTCTAATCCGTTTCTTGCTGACCAAGAACAGAAAGGTGATATACATTTAGAACGCAGGATGAGACAAAATTACAAAGCAAAAGCTTTCAACACCCCACCCCTTTGTATTCGTCCGTTTTACAAAAGAAACATAAAGTGCAGGACACATTCAGATGCAGAGAGCTCCTTTCTGCAAACACACATACAGTGAAAAGTCTCTTTTTTTTGAGAGCTCAGCCCTTTTTCGCACATCCTCAATACAGGCATCTTTCCTTCAGCTCTGGTGTCGATCATCCCAGAGCGAAGAACTTCAACCAACTCAGCACAGACAAAAGTCTGTACAAAGCACTTATGAAAGGAAACAGTTGGTTGCAACTTGGTTTCAGGAAACGAGTACAGATGCCAGGCTGGTGAAGAAAGCATAGTTATTCTCTGGCGCATCACCGAAGCAGACACAAATAAAATGCACAAAACAAATGTAGAAAGATTTTGGTAGGATTTGAAGTGTTTGGGTTGAAATTCAGTCTCTGATTACATGAGAGCAAGACAAAGGAGCGAAACTCAGCTGACGATTAGTTACCGAGTAATGTAGTGTCCTCTTTACGTCTCACGTCACGATCCGCACAATAACCGGTTGTGGTTAATTGACAATTACACTCAACACCAAAACCGGGCTGATTATGCCTTTCTAAAAAAGACAGCATTGTAATATTATCATATTATTTGCATCAAAAGCTGAGTGCTTTATTATCACAGAATTATTATACTGACTCACATACTATAAAGCATGCTATTTTACTCAAAATTCAACTTAAATTAATCACCACCTGTCGTCCTGAGACTCTTATTTTTGTCACAGGAAGTCCCAAAGCTGTTAAGTGCACAACAAATACTTTTTTGTGAATACACAGTATATAGTCAGTTGTAATTTAACATCTGGTGAGCTTGTATTACGGCTCAGCGTAGGCATTATGTTGTATTTGACTGATTTTTAATCACTTATCTGCAGTTAATTTATCCACATAACACCTGACTAGCATGGATGTCTCTTAACGGACGAAAGGCTTCCTTTTTTATTTTTACAAACTGTGCTGTGTTTAAGCTTCTCCAGACAACACTAAGGAATACTTCTAGGAAAACAGAACAATTAAACCATCCTCTTTCTCCCATCACATATACTGTTCCGAAGCTATAATGTGCTTTAGTCCTCCGAACCTGTCGCACCACACAGTGTTCAAAGCAAAAGATTTAAGGCCACAATGATGTCCACAGGTATAGTGTAATCGGAGTGTTGTCAGATCACCTGAACCCATGATGTTTTTCATGATTTTCTGTTGTACATGATGTTAGAAATTTGGATGAGCATATTAACCATACCCAAAAGAGGCTCAACTACTCTGAATACTCACATTAGCAAGTTTTCCCCCACTCTTGTCTCTGTTTGATATCAATAAAAGCATTTTTTTCCCTTAACAAGGTTTAGGCATAAGGCTCTAGTTGTGAACACAGAGGCCCCACCCATCTACTATTCAAATTAGGAGCAGCCAATAAGGGCCTTTGTAAGGAGCAGAGCCGAAACCACCTGCTTCACAAAGGGGACGAAATTAACGGGCTGCATCAAGGCCCAGTTTAACAGTTCAAACAGAGCTGGAAATGAGCTTAACACATCCTCTTGGCCTATTTAAAGCAACGAGACAGACCACTCATGATGGCCTTTCTGGCTCAAAAAGAAGCAATCAGGCAACAAAAGAGCAACTGTATGATAGAAATGAAAACAATTACACCTTAAGCCATCATCCTGAATCATCCATTCTGACTGCTGATTTGGACTGAGTCAGACAACTACCCTGCCACCCACACATACTGCATTGTTCATCCTCTCCCATAATCAGCCTTACAGAACTGAAATTCATGTGCAGTCTCTTTATATGAAGATCAATCTGAAACAAGAAGAAACTGACTACAAAAAAAGGAACTTTCAGAGCTTTAACTTGGCTTAGACTTTGAATATGTTGAGTGCTGGTATACCAAAACGTTACATCACACTACAGATTTAGAAATTATTCATATTCACTGTAACTGCTCTTTGCACACTAGCGTAAAGTCAGTAGCTCTGGTTGTATGTTATGCATTGAAAATGTTAAAAATGTAAAATAAAGCTGCATATCTCACAAACTGAAGCCCTATGACACTCTATTGATAACTCAGAAACTCTCCCTCCATTTCAAACATGCTTTGTTCCTAATCACAGGTAGGTTTGTTTTCCTCTTCATGATTAAAATCAAACAATTCAGGTCACACCCGCAAAGCACTCCCCACCTTTTTTTGTTTGTTTGCAGTAGTTACTGTTTACCAGAGCAGCAGCATTGCAGTTACAAGATTTGCAATACTGTTTGGCTCCAACTGAATCTTCTTGTACTTCAGAGGGTGCAAGGACACCAACTTTCATCAGTTACTCTCCTCAGACTTGACATGATTTTTTAAAGAGTGCTCTTTGTGACCCCTGACCTCTGTCATACTTTAAGCAGTGGATTTGCTACCAAAGTGATTTTTATTCAGAGACTTTACTGGTTAAGTATTCATTGTGTTGTCTGGATGAATTCTGTTCTGCTTTTTAGTGAGGATATTTCTCTCTTCTGAGAAAGATACACACCTAGCTTGAAGAATGCAATACCTCCAACTGTAAAAACAACAGTTATGGCACAACATGCATTTAAGCTGGCAAAAGACACTGCAACAAACCCGCCAACCACGCCGACATGCTAACAGCCACACAGAGAAACGTTTGCCATTGGCACAAACTTACTTTCTGCAGGCTTTCTACTGAAAACTGTGGCATAAAAGACTGAATGTCTGTTTATTCCTGCACTATGATGGTGTTTTTTTTAGCCTGGTCTGCTGTATAAACAACTCGGATCGTTCCTAAACGGAGAGGTTATGATGGTGATATTAGAAAAGCAGGGGGCGGGGCTGAATCCTCTAAGACGTCTCCATCATGCGCATG